CATATGTAAACCAGTGTCAGTCTGTAAATTCTTTATCCACCATCAGATTTCCTGCAAGTCTCTCTTTCAAGAGACGTAAGAAGCAGCACAACTTTGCATGAAAGGTTTGTTTTTTCTAATGTTTTGCAAAGTCCACGTCAACTATCACACAAATTTACTTTTTTATAAAATCTTTATTGTGGTTTAGCTCCAATTTCAGTACTGTTCTTGGATTTGTAGAGTACACCGACTCATCAGCCAGAATGCCTTTCTCTGGAACACATTTTTTCAATTTCAGAGCAGAAACAGCAGTAACCTAGGTTTGTTTTTTCTTTTTTTTTTGGCAGGTCTGTCTTCATCTTTTGTAAAAAGGTTTTGTTGCACAGTTACATTCTAGAATGCATATTCAATGATGTCAAAAGATCTTTGCTTTAGACATGTTGTTACAAGCAAAAAAATTATTAGATGTGTTTGAGTCCAAATAGTTCTCAGTTCATGCATCCTCAATCCATCAATACTTGTGTGTTTTAAGCAACTCATTTGGATGTGAGCCCAGCATGCTGGCTTTATCAGAAGCATTACGTGCATATTTATACTGAGGCACATACAGTCCTTACACACAGAAGAAAAATCCTCCTGCACCGCCAAGATTGTCTTCTGTGTTACAGGACCACAGTCTACAGCAGCTGCATTTCTGTGTTGGAAATCTGAATGTGTTGCTCATGCATGGATATGTCCTGAAGGAAATTATGAGGTTTGCTGTACACACAGTGAGCAGTGCTGAAGGCTTCAGACCTGCAGTACATAAGCAGAGATCGGGGAATATGGGACATGGGTTGGGCTCATCTGTATACCTGAGGTGCATTTGCATTGCTGCTGTAGATTGAACCTCGGGTGTGCTTTGCGTGCTGGAGGCACAGCTTATACACATCATCGAAAACATTTATCTAGGACTAGTGAGGAAGCCTAGCTGGAGCTTTTCCTCTGCACTTCTGTGAGATGTTTGGATGTCTGGGTTGAATATATTGCATCAGATGTTGCTAACACTGGGCTGATGCCTATTATTAAATCTACAGCTTTTATCTGTGGTGTTCAGTTATACATGAACATTTTTTTTAGGTGATTCCAAATCCGTGTGCTCATCAAGTCATAGAGTCACAGAATGGCCTGGGTTGGAAGGAACCTGTTGTGATTTAAAACCAGCTGGAAATTAGGCTCCAAGCAGTTGCTTCCCTTCCCTCCACCCCCTCTGGTGAGAAAGGGAAAAAACTACAGAGATTATGGGTTGAGATGATAATTTACTAGAAAACCAGCAATGAGAGGAGGAAAACAAACAGTAATAGCAACAATGCTAATAACAACAGTGTATAAAAAGGAGGGTAATTACATGCAAAAAAATGCTTGCAGAAATCTGACCCACTTGATGTTACCACAGCCAGTGACACAAGGCTTCCTGAGACAAAGGAGAGATGGCAGATTTTACCACAGATGGCATTTTTTTCCCCAGAGCCCAAGATAATGAAAAACAATGGTGGGCAAATTGTCCACACCCACACTCCTCCCCCAAGCCTGAGATGACAAAACCCAGTGATGGACAAACCATGCTGTGCCACTCCATCACTCTGTCCATCACTTTGCTCCCCCAGAAAAGGAACAAAATGGCCACGGTTTCACTTTGTATTCTTCCACCCAAAGCCATGCCCTCCAGTGATGATGTGGGTGGTATAGAATAACACTCTACACACACCACACAGATCCAGGCTTTGTCCATCCCCTTCTCCCCCCGCTTTGTCTAGCCTGGGCAACTGCAAGAGAATTAGTGGCTATTTTTTAAAGTCTCCAAATGTAATGCATTAGTGACCTGATTTAGTCTAGCTGTGCATGTATTTACCCAGTTTTCTGGTCTTCCTATACATCTGAGCTTCTGCAAAACCACTGAACAGAAGAATCTGCAAACTCAAATGTGTATCTAGCTATGTCCTCAGATAACAGCGCTTTAAAAACTCAGTTTTGACCTGAGAGGGGGCATGATAATGCTTATCCACAATGTTGCACTCTGGTTAGGCCCTTTGCACTGAAAATATGGTTTGGATTAAATTACTGTCAGGCTTTGAGCACCTGAAGAAAACTAATAGTATGTGCTTGTGTTATAATGTTTCTGTCTTCTGAGGCTGAAAAAAATATGGCAACAAACAAGTTTATTGTCAATTGTATGTTTGTTTGTTTTTTATCTGAGTTATGATTCACCTCTGGGATATTTGTGTTGTTTGCAACAAACTTGATTGCAGTTGTTCATGAGGAAATAATCAGGTAGAAATGGGCATTTTGAAAGGGAAGACAAAGGTTCCTCTCAAGAAAATACTGCTTTTGGTGACACTGACCCTACTGATAGCCAAATAGCAGTTGCTTGGCTAATGGTAAGTGAAGTTTCTTGACTTTGAAAATACAAAATGAAAATGGAGAGAATAAAACCCCTCTCCTTTTTATCAGTATTCTTAGTTTAAAGAGTCACTGTTTAAAAAGTCATAGGACAACACACAGTTTATATTTTTCATTCACCACACAAAAATTTATGAAATGCCAAAGGACCCTCTAGAAATCTTGTCTAAACTGTACTACCTTTTTCTCCCTGAAGCCTGTGGACAGTGGTATTAGAGCAGTGCTGTATACTGAGTGGATTTGTGTTCAAAATCAGATAAGGATTTTATTTGCCAAGATTATGCTTTGAAGTGGTCCCAACACCATGAATTATCTCATTAAAGGTGGTTTACTGGATTCTATATGGCAAACACTTGAAATTTCCTGTCATTGCAGATTAACATGCTGCTGTCTGCTACAATCGTGCCTGTGTGCTGGCTCAGCTGGGAAGCAGAGCCAGAGTTTGGACATGGATGAGCTTGAGACATGCAGGAGGCAGTCACTGACCTGACAATATAGCACTGGACAGGCTAGTGGAGGAGAAAACTCAGGTGTCTGTCTTCACTGGAGTTTGACAGACGGTGATTAAATACATTTTAAGGCTGACAAGGAAATAAAGATTCTGTTTTATGTAAAATTAAGGGTTTGAAATTTTTGCTTCTCTTCTAGTTCCACACCAATGCAAAACACACAACAAATATCTAATGAGCTCACAGGAGAGAGAATTTTGCAGAACTGAAGCTTGAGTCTGAGCCTTTGGCTCTTTGTTTTTCACTGCCAAGTTACAGTATATTGAGTTTCTCAATAGAATTTAAGAAGAATCCCTTTAGGATTTGAAGTCTTTGTGGAAAATTTCATTGTATTGTCTACAAAACATGGAATCTTCAAGCTTAACATTTTTTTTAATCTATTTTTTTTTTAAATTTTATTTTAGCTGTTGACAGTTATACCTTTTTCCCTTTCAGGGTTTTCAAAAAATATTAGTGAATTCTCTGATGAAATCTAATCTCCGATATGATGGAGCAGGTTACACCCAGAGGAAGGGAAGTTGCAGTCCAACAGGGCAGCTATTTTTTTTCCTTTTTTTGTTTTGTCATGTGGGAAAAAAAAACTTTGTGAGGATACCTTCTCTGTTCTGAAGCATGCTTCAGTGGAAATTTCAGGAACTGCATCTGCTCTTCAATGATCTTATATAAAAAACATTTAAAATCCATTTTAAAGACAATAGTAAACTTTGATAAAGAAAAACAGAGTGAGTTTTCCTCTACAGAAATGCCGTATGAATGAGAAGATATCCCTTGAACACTTTCTGTGCAGAAACTTACCTCAGTTTTTCTAAGACAGATAGATACACTATATTCATTTACATCAAAAATTATCTCATCTAAAGCAGAATTTATGTATCTTCCCAGCTGGGGATGCTAGATTATATCTTAATACCAGGGCAGAATGACCCACAGTGCTTCTTGTCCAGATTGATGTTCTCTGCAGCTTCCTGTCAAGTAGTTTCATAGCACAGACTTTTACCCAGGGTTAATACATCCTATAACATGTAGTATCTTCCCTGAGGGTTTAGCCGAAAGCTTTTGAGGGTGGCATTAAATGTGCTGCAGTTACTTAGCTTACGTTTGAAGGTTTTTTAAAAGAGAGGATGATTTGAAGATTTATACATCCCTGAATTTCAGCATCTGCATTACAGTAATTTTGGAGTATTTAATAAAGCAACATCAAGCTGACATGCTTCGCATGCAAAGTGAAAATCTGAAGGAAATCTTAGGAATTTTAATTTATAAGGAGTACTACTTAAGCACAATCTTATAAGGTCACCTGAAATGCTTATCTATCTATGGCAGAAAGAGTGTCCAGCTCTTCTATCAATATATTTTTCTACGACTCCTTAGGAGTATGTTGTGACTAGCTCAACACTTCTAGTATAAAGTTTAAATCCACTAAAAAACACAGGAAAGAAGGAGAAATCAAACTTTCTGGAACAAAAGAAAAGTCTGGAACAACAGCAAAGAATGGGATTTGGACTTCAGCATCATTTTGTATTGGATGCGTGCTAGTTTTTGTGTGATGTAGTTTGTTTCAGGCAAGGAATACCCCTCCTTCTCTCTCCCTCTCTCTATATGTATATACATATATATATATATATATACACACACACACACACATATGTATATACACATCTTTTAATTTTTTTTTCTTTCCTTAGGGCTTGATCTGACACCCAATTCTTGAGGTGCTGAAGATGTAACATACTGAAATAACAACAAAGATACCATTTAATTTCACTTTAATCTGGATGAAACTGAACTATTCAGTATTGGCCTTTCTCCCTTCCTCTGTCTTGCTTTTTTTTTGTCTCGGGAAATACAAATTAATCTTGTCTGCTGGAAGTATCCCATGGAACAATATCAATTTGCACTTAAGGAATATCAGTGGAACCAAAGAGGACATTGTTGCAACACAAAAATGCTGCCAAGTGTTTTATTATAGTCCATCAGATTTATTTTGATTCAGATGATAGGATAATGTAGGCAGGAGACCGGTAATTAGAACTCTGTTGAATGTTTGCATTGACTCTCAAATCCATTTGAATCAAATAAGTTGCTGCTTTAAATAGACTTTAACCAGTCTTGAGTCAAATGTTGTTTTGAGCAACAGGAAGGTAGGCAGATACTTGCCGGACGTCTTCATCAGCCTTCCTTTTTCATATCCCACGAGCCCTGAGGAAAATAGGACAGAACAGAAACTCAGTTTTTTGGCAACCCTCATTCTGAAGAGAAGGCATGAAGCCTGCTTGGTGGCCTTCTGAAAGATGGGAAAAACAGCTAGCTGATGCTCTTGCAAGGCAAAGTACAGCACAGAAGAAACAGAAGCAGAAAGGAAGTCATCAACCCACTCACCTCCTGGGAAGGGCGTAGAGATAATTAGTGACTGTTTGCAGAGGACTTTTCTTTTGGAAAGAGAAATGATAAATTAAGGAAAGATGAAAAGGTTCATTTATTGATGTTGTATACAAATGACAACTCTCCCTATGGAACCATCTGAAATCAGATAGGGATCTCTGTGTGGGTGGGAAGCAAGAACTTATAGTCATTAAGGTTTTGTGCATTGCTGGGTGACCAGTGAAATGGCCAGCACTTTGTTCATGTTACTCAAATAAAGGTGAAAAATCCTCCAGTACCTGATGAGCTGAGCTCCAGGGGTGGATTGTCAATATAATTGAGAGGGAAGCCCTGTGGTATTAGCAACTGCATTAGCAATTCTGAACATAGACTCGTAGAATAACCTGGGTCAAAAGGTACCTTACAGATCATCTCTTTCCAGCCCCCTTGTTGTAGGCAGGAACACCTTCCACTAGACCAGATTGCTCAGAGCTCCATCCAACCTGGCCTTGAGCACTTCCAGGGATGGATCCAGACCCCTGGGCAACCTGTTCCAGTGCCTCACCATCCTCATAGGGAAGTTTTTATTCTTGATAGATAATCTAAACCTACTCTCAGTTTGAAGCCATTCCACCTTTTCCTGTCACTACATGCTTTTGTAAATAATCTCTCTCCATCTTTTTTGTAGGGTCCTTTCAGGTACTGGAAGGATGTATTCAGGGTTGCATCCGAGATTTTGTCCCAGAAATTGGGATGCCAACCATAGTAGGCAGAGAGAAATCAACCTTTTCTTCCTTGGCTATGTTGTGCACGCTGCATACTAAATGCTTACCCACAGCATAAAACACAGAGACGCAGGCAATTAAATGTTGTTACCTTGAGCCTAAAGGCAGGTTAAATCAGTAAATCTCACTTGAATGGCAACATTTTAGTCCTATGCTTCTGATAGTCTATATAAGAGAAGGATTGGAAACAGGGTTTTTTGAGAACAGAGATGCTCTCCTGTCAGTTCACATAATCAACAAATTATCTGCTACAACTGTTTTCTTTCTCTAATGAAAGCACTTAAGTGCTGGAATGAATTTCCTTGAGATGCCATGGAATTGCTATTGTTGAGGATCTCTAGAACTTGACTGGACAAGACTGAGCAGCCTGACATAAAAGTGAGGACTGCTTTCCTTAGAGTAGAACACTGGACAAGACTGAGCAGCCTGACATAAAAGTGAGGACTGCTTTCCTTAGAGTAGAACACTGGACAAGAAAACCTCTAGAGATCCATCTCAGCTTCAATTATTCTATAATTTTAAACTATGATGGAATCTGAATTAAGGATGGCATTATATGAATAATATCAAAACTTCCTTGAAATATCCACTGCTTGTGTAGATTTATTTCTCTAAAATTTATTTGAATGCTTAGAGACAGACCTATGTTTAGGTATTTCAGTGAATCTAAGCCTTTTATTCAGCATGGTAGTTTAGTGAAGTTAGATCACTAGCAACACTCAGCAATATGAAATTTGGTTATTTTGTATCAGTGTTTTTTTTTCCAAGCTCAGTACTTTGAAGGACACTTGATTGTTCTCTGATTCAGGCCACTTAATTCCAGTCATAAGATATCTTTTAATAACTTCTCAATGCAGTATAATACACACAATAAATTATAGGGTTTATGTATCTTCCATCCCAAGCCATTAATGTCAGTGAGACCATTTTAAACCACTAGATCTGTGATCTTCCACCAACTACCAACTGAAAGAGAGATGCTGTGGCACTCTCTGACTCGTGAGTTACAGAGTGATAGTATTCACACTTTAGAAAAAAATGAGTCCATTGTCCAGGATGACCACCTTTTGTGAGTTCAAGGACGTAGGGGAGTGAGAACTCCAACCCTAGACTGGTGTGCACAGAGCATCCCCATGTCCTTGTGCCTGTGAGATCCTGCAACTGATCACAGTCAGCTTGGCTCTGTTTTCTCCCTGACACTATTCACGTCATGGGTTCCTGGTTTGGCTTCATCTACAAGTGAGTACTGCTGCCCTCCAATGATCACAGGCAGTTTCTAGGATGTCCTTTGATTTAAACTGCAGACAGTGTTGATAAAAGGGCAGTTTAGTTTGTAACAATCTAAACCATGATAGAAGTAATTACAATGTGCAGGGCTACTTGTTTATCTCTTAAGTTCTGAAGAGAATAATATGTAGCTTCAGTTGCATTGCTCCTGTATGGAATGCTTGACCAATGTCATATACCTGTATAACATCAGACCATCTCAGAACTGAATTTTCTTCCCATATATTCTGTTTGCACACTTTAATATCCTATATCATGTAAATTCATTGGCAATGAACCTTGTTACAAGCACTGGACTCTTCTAATGAAAAAGCCTTTTTATATCCTATGTTCCCTTATTTGAATTTTAACCAACTACTTAAATGTAACATGTTGTCTGTGTGCAATAGTGCACCATTCTGGAAAGAAAAAGTTAGAGTCATAGGATGGTTTGTGTTGTAAGAGACCTTGAAGCTCACCTTGTTCCAACCCCTGTGCAGGGAACACCTTGGAAGGGACACCTTCCACTAGATCAGGTTGCTCAGAGCCCCATCCAACCTGGCCTTGAACAGTACCAGAGATGGAGCATCCTCTGGGCAACCTGTGACAATACTTCACAGTAAAGAATTTCTTCTGTATATCTAACTCAAACTCTCCCTCTTTTAGTCTGAACCCACTGCCCCTTTCCCTATTGTTGCCTTAAAATTCAGAGCAGAAAAACTTCAGACAAATTTAGTAGAGATAAGATAGAGAGCAGGTCTTTAATGAAGGCCTTCTGGCACAAGGAGTGTGAAAAGGCGTGTACCTCTGTGTCCAGGGTTTCCACAATTTATGGTCCGATCCGAGAAGCACTCGTCCCCACCAGATCTTCCCACCTCCACCAGGTACACCTCCCTGGAAATTGAGTCACAGGTCAAGGAGGTTTTGTTTGCTTTCTAATAAATGGTGCATGTAAAGTTCCTCAGAATGCCATGATTCTTTATATACAAATACGGCCATAGGTCAGCATCGGCTTCACTCTTTGGGTCCTATTTTAAACTCACTGCTAACTCTAAAATGTATGCAGAAGAGATAACGTGAATTTCTAGCTTCTTGAAAATGTTCAACCACAACTATTCTGACTCTGCTGAAGACGGAGAATGTACTTCTCTTTTAGTTCAGTGCCTTGAAGAGAATACCCTATTTTTAACAAAAGTTGTACTGGAAACATATTCATATCAAAAGCAAAAATGCATGACCAGCTACTGTGAGGGGAATACATATGTAATTAGTCAAGATGTAGTGTTTAATTTCTGCAGGATCTATAAGAAACAGCTACATTCAGTATGATCTATTTTGGTGTGTGTGCAAAGCCAGGTCTTCTGTGCCAGAACTCTCTCTCTGTGTGTGTGTGTGTGTGTGTGTATTTGTGTGTGTGATTATTAGCATTTCTCTGCTGGTGTACTAAAGCACTGCACAAGGGACCTGAGACACGTTACAAGTGGATTTGAATCAACACAGACTTCTTTGAAAACATAAAGAAATAAAAAATTAGAGTTATACAAACCTAAACTAAAAAATAGAAGCTTTACCCTGCATGTGTTTGTATTGATGCTAATGAAACATTTAAATGTGTCTTATTAGATTGCCCTGATGACACAACTTTGCCCCAAGAGACCAATAAATGCAGATGCAATCCTTTGCCAAAATCTTTCTTGCTTGCCAAGTACACTGGATCATTTCCAACAGACTGCATAAATCCAGCCATATGTAAATACAATATTTTCTGACTAACTAAAGATCAAACGAAGTTGATAAACTTATCACATGTTGGTATAAACCTACTGCATTCTGTCAATGAATCCTCACAAATTCATCACTTTTGTCAAGGTGTTGGACATTTAATGCTACTTTGTTTTGAAGTTTGGTATTTAATTACACTTAATGTTGCCAAACAGACAGAAGTGGTGACATTTTAAACACAGAACTGAATAATCAGCAAATTGTTATTTTTGTGGTCATCCTAAACACCCAGAATGAGTGTGGTCTAATAAAGAGTACACAAGGTAATCTTTTTACAAGTAATTACAATGGCTTTACCTAGAAGTCCATCTTTCAAGAAAACAGAATTCCAGACAATGTGGAAAGCATTCAAGCTAGAGATCTTGAAATAATTAGATATTTAATGGACTGAAATAAGGGCCAGAGGAAGGGGGAGCTCATTTGTCTTTGGTTTTCCAGAAAGCTTAGTATTGCAAAATATGCAGTATTGCTAAGTATTGCAAACCCTTTCTAGAGCTGGTGCTTGGAAGGTATGAAATAAAGCTGTAGTCAAAACCTGCCTTTTTTTCAACGTTCCAACTTTGTGCTGAGATTGACCAAATAAAGCTCTTCAGAATTAATCTCACATTTGGAAATAGGAATATATGTTTTATCACATCAGTGTAGAAACTTGAATGGTCGTAGGAAGCAACTATTGATTTGTATGGCAGAGAAAATGAAATTTGTTGAAAGAATGAGATAATATATGTTTGAAGTCAGAGGTAGTAAAGCATCCTGAAAAGGTGTGTGTCCATGTGATGGACCGGGAAAATTGATTTCAGAAAAAAATACCCCTTGTGAAAGTTCACCCATAGGACTGGCAATGAAAGCAGTAGTGCTAATTCTCAGCTCCCATTCTGTGTGCTGGTGATGAACTGATGTTGCCTCTCACATAATGTCCCTTTCTTCTCCCTTGGCATTCAGTGTCTCAATTCTTCTTCTTTAAAAAGCAGAGGAGCAGGAGTCACACTTGACCAACATGTTCTTCTTCCACCCTACAGTTACATCTGATGAAACCTGAGCTCATTCAAACACAGTGGTAAAAAAATCTCACTGAACTATCAGGATTCCATAGAATTTGCAATTTTGTCAAATTTTCAATGTCTGTACAAAGCCACAGCATTGCCCAGGTGGTACTGAGACAAACACAAGCTTAGTTCTGCTTATGGACAACACTTGCAAAAAAACCCCAAAACACCCAAACATGTTAGAGTGGCATTTAGCATTCACTAATAACCTCTCTCACCAGGACTTTTTTAAACTTAAGGTTCATACTGGGCTAAAACAATCATATGACTGCTTGGGAGTTGGACTGTGGCCCAAATCGACCTCTTCTGTGCAAATACATCCACCCTTTAACAGAACCCGCCCTGTGGAAGGAGGAGTGAGTTGTGCAGAGATGTATGGGTGACTGCACATATTTAACATGTTAATAAAACTTGCTTGTGGGAAGTTTGATCAAAACAATGAGTTGAGAAGAATATCTGATCTGAATTTTTCTGCCTTGAAACCATAATATCAATAGCTAGCGTACCTGTGTACCTTTGTGTTATTGTTTTTAGACCCTTATAACTAATAACAAGTTTCCATGGCAGTTTTGAAGTTTGTTTGTATATATATGTGTAACTCATTTCAACACTTTGCAAAACCACAAGAATATATGAATACACAATTGTGTTGCTAAAATTTTGGGTAAAAGGAATTTTCAGAGCTGTGAATGGAAAGGTCATTTTGTCCTGAGAGTGAATCCAATTAAAGTCTGTGCTGAGGCTAAGGAAACTAATTGGCATGTAGATTAAAGCCAAACCCAAGCTTTCTCTGAGCATTTAAAACCAGACATGAATTTAGGCAGTTTCAGGCGATGAATTTTCCAAGTTGTGTTGGAGGACTGTCTTAAAGTTGCATCAAATGAAAAAGGAAAAAATCATAGCAGAAGGACAAGGACGGGAGATTCAGGATTTGTGTAGAGATTTTTTCCTGACACTGTAATTTCCAAAGCAACAACAACAAAAAAGCAACAAAAAATCACAACCCTCATCATGAATCAATAAAAAACATCTTTCCATAACATTTTTATTATTCTGATAACGACAGTTTGACATTTTTACTTTGGCTAAGTTAAGTTTTTCCTATCTATTGCCTGCCAGAAGAAAAAAATTCCATAATTTTCTGCCGTCTACTGGCAACTATTTCTTTCTGATTATTAATGAATGTGCACTCAGGATCATTTCAAGTTGTCAGTTCTGAATTTTGCTAGACAAGACAGGATGGTTCTGATCATGTCCAGAAAGGGTAAGTTATGACAGTAACAACAAGAAATGTTTATTCTCTTGGTTTTTTTATGATGAACTTGTTGATTGTGAAAGGTGCCACAGTGACAACCATGATGCATGACACTTTTTAAAAGGTATCTACTGTATTCAACACAGGAACCAACCTATTCAAATTCTGATCATACAAAAGCCTTCTGATTACCTGCTAGAGAGGAGAAATCTCTTCACTGGGTCTCTGCATGACCCCCACTAGTGCTCTGTCCTTTGCATCTTAGACAAATTCAACCATGGCATTTTAGATCATGTGCTAATTGGACTATTTGCATGTAATGCCCTGGCAAGTTTATTTTAATGACTTAGATATATTTTTTTTGAGACTGGAAAATGGCCTTCAGCCTAGTGTGTCCGACTGTGCAGGTTTATCTTTAATCTCACATGCCTGTTATTTTCACATATTCCAAATACTTCTGCATGGAAACAAAAAAATTGATGTATTTCATAGTGATTGCCATCTATTTAAATCCGTTTTTTTTAAAATCTGATTAACTGTCAGTTTATTTCTTTTATATGTGCAAGTTAGAGTTGGGATCACTCTTCTCTTGAATAACACTATAACCCACCAAACAATAAGGAAAAAAAGATAATTTTAATCCAAACCATTTCATTGCATTATGGTATGAATGTTTGTACCAGGACGAGAGTGGGCTGGGACTGCATTTTCCACTCCTGATGTTTCTTTAAATTGATCAAATGCTTGCCTTAGGCACTGACGAGTCCACACAGAAGAGAAAAATTGAAGTGTTGAGCTTTGGGGAAAAGAGCTCAGAGGAAGCAAGGGTGGGTCAGAAATTTCCTGACATTTAAGCCAATCCATCATAAAACATAAACCAGAAAGAAAGTAAGCTTTGTTAAGTCTGATGCTTGCAGACATAGGTTCAATTGGAGGGTCTATGGAAGTTTTTCCATTATCTAACTGGTTTGTTTACTCCAAATAACCATGTTGGTTCCTTTTTTGTATAACCTATGCCTCAGATATGTCATGGTACTTTTATGCCAACAGTGACTTCAGACCAAGGAAATCGTGTTATGTTTGTGGAGGTTGTTTTTTTGGTTGGTTGGTTGGTTGGGTTTTTTTGGTAAAATTTAATCAACAGAAAAGACCATTTTTAATGACTTGGATTTGAAAATCAGTTAATTCAAAATACGAAAGCAAAACCTGGGAGTTCCCGTAGTAGGCTGGGGTAATTCTCTCTCAATTGAATGGACAAAGGAAGGTGGTCATGGCTTTGCAGACTCTTTGCAGGGGAGTGGTGAGTCTGGGAGGCTCCAAACTAAGCTAGAGGTAATTGGGATCAAAGTTCTTTCTTGCAAACCATAAGAGTTTTGGGAAGGGAGCCTGGAAAATTAATAAACATAAGATGGCCCTTATATCAAATTTGTGAGATTTGCAATATCTCCTTCAGTAAATGGGAAAGAACAATATTATGCCAAACTTTAGGAGCTGAACAAAAGCCACAGACCACATAAAAGACATTAGTTGTACATGCCTGTGTAGTCACATGTAAACTATTTATATGCTGGTTGTGCACGTGCATACTATATTTATCTTTGTGAAACTTCGGCTGCCTAGTCACCACATTGCTCAGTTCAGTGACTTTTGAGTGCATTCAGGCAAATGTCTCATTTCCCAACGTTCATTTTCACAATAGAGGCAGCAGAACAAAACCTAGACTTTTACCACCCTAGTGAGAAATGGGCATTTTGTGTAAACTGGTGGAGCAACAAGAGCTGCAAGCATGAGCACACATCCTTCTTTTGCCA